CTCACATAACTATGTATCTTCCATGAGATATTTTTTCCAGGAATCCACATTTGCGACATGTCAAAATAAAATATTTTTTTCAGTACTTATAACTAGGTTAAGGAGTTTCACGGGGGTTATAGTTATTATCCGAAAGGATAAGTTTTATTATAAATAATGTACTATTCTCTTCAAAGTCTCATAGAAATTTATTGAGTTTCAAATATGTTCATCTAAATTGATATCATATCAAGATAACAAATGTGAATATTTATATATTATAATCATTATACCGGATGGAAAAAATGTATTGAAAAATTTACTCGCTTTCTCTTCTAGTCTTTATTACAAATATTGGAATGATTGAAACAAATGCTATAGTAAATCAAAAGTTTACTAATTCAAATATTTTTATTATGTGATATGATCGATTATGTTATCCTAGATCTCTCATGATGCAAAAATATTATGAAAATTCATATAGATATATATTAAAGAGCTAGAAGATTCTTCAATTTAATAAATTTTCATGTTACGCATGTTGTCAAGGCAAATTGATGATGAAGCCATCGGTAAGTAAAATTGAGATTAAATGTATTCAAGGTGATATATGTGGATCAATTCATCCACCATGTGGATCATTTAAATATTTTACGATTTCAATAAATGTGTCCACAAATGCTATAGTAAACCAAAAGTTTACTAATTCAAATATTTTTATTATGTGATATGACCAATCATGTTATCTTGGGTCTCTCATGATGCAAAAATATTATGAAAATTCATATAGACATCTATTAAAGAGCTAGAAAATTCTTTAATTTAATGAATTTTTATGTTACGCATATTGTTAAGACAAATTGATGATTAAGCCATCACCAAATAAAATTGAGATTGAATGTATTCAAGGTGATAGATGTGGATCAATTTATCCACTATATGGATCATTTAAATATTTTATAATTTTAATAAATGTATTCACAAGATGGTCACATATATGCATATTATCTACTTGAAACTTGACGTTTTCGAGATTGCTAGCAAATAATTTGATTTCAAACATAATTTTCAGATTATACCATTAAAACAAGTCACCTTGATAATGCGAGTGAATTTATTTCTCAAGTATTAAATTATTATTGATTGGGTATTAGAATAAAGGTTGAACATCTCATTGCTCATGTTCATACATAGAAAGGTTTAGCAATATTATTTATCAAAAGGCTCCAATTGATAGTTAAACCATTATTTAAAAATAAAACTCTCTGTTTATGTTTAGGGACATGCAATCTTATATGTAGCAAAACTTATTCGCATCGGACTCATAAGTTATTAGCAATTCTCTCATTTTCAATTGATTTATGATCATAAGCTAAATATTTCTTATTTAAGAATTTTTGGCATTGCGGTGTATATCCGTAATGCTCCTCCATAACAAAATAAAATGGGCACTTAAAGGAGATTAGAAATATATGTTGGATTTGAATCCTCTTCGATAATTTAATAGCTTGATTCATGAATAGAAGATATTTTTACAGCTCAATTTATCGATTGTCATTTTGATGAAACATTTTTTTCAATATTAGAAGGAGAGAATAAGCAAAATAAGCGATTAAAAATGTTGAAAAAAAGATTACATGGAGTACTCTATCTTTATATCATATTGAATCTCGTATAAAAAAATATAAACTAGAAGTTCAAAAGATAATTCATTTATAAGGTATTACAAACCAAGCTGCTAGATGCATTCTCGGATCCTAAATGAGTAACTAAAATACACTTCCCCGTTAAAAATGCTTATATTAGAATTGATGTCCTAGAAAGACGATCTATTAATGTTATAGCTAATGAATCTAAAGCAAGCTCGAAGCGTGAAAGACTAACCTAGGTTCTAAAGATAAAAATCCCCAAAAGAAAATGACAAGATGAAAATATAGAAGATGTAAATATTCATAAAACAATCCAAGATAAATCTAATAATAGGCTTCAGGAAGAAGTCCAAATGCTTGAGAAAAATTAAGAGACTTTGATAAATTATTTCAATACGGGGAGAAAATAAGGACAAAAAAAAAACATTTTTTGCATATAATATTTTAATTGATATCTTGAATAAAAATAAGGATCCTAAGCCTAAATTTATTAAAGAATGTCGATATAAAGATGATTAGCCTAAATAAAAAGAGCGATTCATGCATAATTATGTTTTTTTATGAGTAGTTTTTGAATCCATAGTTAAAATATCTAAAGATGTTAAGCCAATGGAATACAAATGTGTATGTGAACACGAAATAAGAAAGATGAGATTGTAAGATACAAAGTAAAATTTTTAACATAAAGTGTTTACAAAGACTTGATATTGATTGTGAGGAAACATATTCTCTTATAATGGATGCGATTTTATTTTATTATCTCATTAGCTCTGGCAAAATATATGAAAAACATTCATATGCATGTATTTAATGATTGTGATCATAGTTTATTTATTCATTTGAAATGATATCGGTATGAAAGTTTTAGAAGGATTTAACATGCCGAAACATGTAATACCTATTCTTGATAAAAGAATTCATTTAAATTATAGAGATCTCTATTAGGATTATTTCAGTATTTATTTTATTATTTTAGTTTTAGAAATTCAATTTATATTATTTTTTTATATTTTATTTTTATATCCATTGTTTATTACTAACTCTGTGTGCATATGATATAATCACTTCAATGATTATTTATTGAAACAAAGTTATAAAAAAAACCCTATTTTTTCATATATTTTATTTGAAAAGGGGTTTGTTATATATATTGATGACATAAATATTATTGAAACTCTTGAAGAGATTCTAAGCGTCATAAGTTATCTAAAAAGAGAATTTGATGTGAATACATCGGGAAAACAAAATGTTATATTGATCTGCAGTTCGAGTACTTAGAGAATGAGATTTTTATCTATCAATCAATTTGTATGGAAAAAGGTTATACAATGATTCTATATAAAGATTATTCATTGACTAGCCCAATGATAGTTCATTCACTTGATATCCAAAAAGACCACTTTTCGACTTCGAGAAGATAACGAAGAACTACTTGATCCCGAAGTACCGTATCTTAGTACCACTAGTGCATTGATATATCTTGTTAATAATACTTGACATGATATAGTCTTTTCTATAAATTTATTAGTAAGTCACGGTTTCGCTTGATACGGAGATTTGAAATAAAGTTAAACATATACTATGTTATCTTCGAGGAACAATCGATATGAGCTTATATTACTCCAATAAATCAAAGATAAGGTTAATTGATTATGCAAATACAAGTTATTTATCTCATCCACATAAAACTCAATCATAACTCGGTTATATATTTACATATGAAGATATAGCTATATCTTGGCGTTCTATGAAACAAATATAGTCGCCACATCTTTAAACTATGCGACGAATACTAGCAATTTATGAGGCAAGTCGAGAATGTATTTGGTTAAGATGGCCCATCATATTCAAGAGACATGCGGTTTATCCACTAACAAGGAAGTTCCAATTATCTTGTATGAAGATAATACTTGTTTGCATAGCTTAATTAAAGGAAGGATACATCAAAGGTGACGAACGAAGCATGTATCACTAAAATTATTTTTCACACATGATCTTCGATGAAGCGATGATATTAATATTCAACAAGTTCGATCAAGTGACAATCTAGTAAATTTGTTCACTAAGGCATCACTTATCATAACTTTTAAGAAGATAATTCATAAGATTGGAATGCGTCGTCTTAAAGATCTTAAATAATGTTTTCAATGGGGAAGACCAATATGAGGATTAATGTGTACAAGGAATACTACATTCTTTTTCCTTCACTAGGATTTTTTTTCCACTAGGTTTTTTCCTAGTAAGGTTTTAATAAGGCATATTCCTTATACAATGGACATTCGAGGGAGTGTTATGAAATAATAAATGTCCATATGAATGTTCATCTACTTTTTATATCCTCATTACTCATGATTCTTAATGTGATTCAATTCATCATTCAATATGAAAAATTGAAAGGATGATGCAATTGATGTACTTTTAATTATTCATAGTCCCTTCCAATTCTCTTCTCAATTTTGAAATCTATAGGTAGGCTTGATTATTTATTAGTTAGGTACAAGTTTTCTAGAGAGAATAAAATAAGTTTTGAAGTTCTTATCATTTGTATTCATATTATAATAATTTCATTTTCTCGTCATTTTTTCCTTCAATTCTCATATTATTTATATTTATTTTATAATATTAATTTATCTTTCAAACAAGAGAAAAAACTAAACATAAGCATAATTATTGAATAAAAAAACTTATAATTAACACGTATAATTTAAATAAAATTTATTAATTGTAGATGAATGGGGGTAATGCCAATTATGTTTGGAAAAAAAAAATGATTTGGGATTCAAGCAATAATGGATACATTGAATTGAGGTTTCGAATGATACAAAGTGGATAAGTTTAAAATTAAAGGTAAATAATAATAATAATAATAATAATAATAATAATGGACCCACTAGTCTTATATGCAGAAGGCATGGTAAGGATTTGGGTTTAGATTGAGAATTGAAATTGGACATGCCTCTCCTTCCTCTTACATATATATTCTTCTTTCTCGTCATTACATTCTCTCCTCTCTCTTTCTCTCTCTCCATCTCTCCTTCTCTCTCAATACATTGTTATTATCATTTAGATTATTATTACAGTGAACGAACGAAAGAGTGATCAATTTCTATTTCTATTATTATTATTATTGTTATTAATTAATCCTCATTCTCTAGGGTTTGGTGTTCAAGTTCAGAAGCAAAACACCGAGGGACGGGGGAGGAGGAGGAAGAGAGCTATCTGGCTAGTTTATTAGTTTCTGTAAATAATTAGGGTTCTATCTCTCTCTGTTTTTTTTTTGGTTATTAAAATCAATTCAAATTTGGAAAGAAGAGACAGAGAGGTAGGTTAAGTTGTTGCGAATTTGAATCTCTCTGTGCGTGGGAAAAGAAGATGATGGAAGGGAGGAGGATATCAGCAGCGAATCCAAGGCCGTGTTCAGGGAGAAGGATATTAGCAGCGAAGAAAAGGGGTCGTTCTGATGGATTCTTAAACAGTGTTAAAAAGCTTCAAAGAAGAGAGATTTCTTCTAAACCAGATCGTTCTTTCAGTATCACCAATGCCCAAGAGAGATTTCGCAATATGCGGTTGATGGTACTATTATTCTTCATTTGTTCTACTGTATAATTTGCTCGTTTGGGATTTAGGGATAATAATAACTGATTTCCTTTTCCTTTTTCTTTTCAATGGAGCTGAAATTTAATCCAATTTGCTGTTGAAAATAATTGGCAGATTGTTTTTAGGGTTCTTAACTAATATTATTACCGCTACTAGTTTGGTATTTACTGTGGAGATGTTGGAGACGAGGAAAAGAAGAAGAAACTCTTTAGGCTTTGGATTTTCCTTTATTTGTTGATTTTTTTTCTTGTAAAAGATATGAAAACCCCCAGAATAACAACGGAATCGAAATTTAGAAAACCCTAGTGAACAAATGTAGCTGAATTATGTTCGTTTTTGAAGTTGATGTCAGCTTTAGCCAAACTAAGAATTTCTGATGTCGTCCTGAAGGAAGTTCTTCATTATATGGCTGTTTGGTATTGCTAATTAAGGAATCATTCTCTAGCTAATTAAGTCTGACAATTGTGAACTCTTGTGATATTTACTTTGTAAACCTGCTTAATATCATTAAGTTATCATACTGATTTCTGAATTCTTTGATGGGTGGGCCACTTCATCTCTCACGGGCATACAAAACAAGTTATAAATGACAAAATGCATCACATCAAAATGGATGTGCATGGCAAAACCCTTTGCAGTCTCTTTTTCATATTTGGAATAATGATTATGGTAGCATGCTCAGTGTTTTTCTTTTTCCAAGATGGATTTTAAATGTTTGGCTTATTCTTCCTCTTCCTCAGGAAGAATACGATACTCATGATCCGAAGGGCCATTGTTCAGTGGTACTGCCTTTTTTGATGAAGAGAACGAAAGTTATTGAGATCGTGGCTGCACGAGACATTGTATTTGCTCTTGCACATTCTGGTGTATGTGCTGCTTTTAGCAGAGGTAGTGACAGACATAATTCTGATATAAGAAAGAAATGCTGTTGTTAATTTTTAAGAAATTCTTTTGCACTTGAGATCTTTTCTTTCCTAAAGAATATGATTGCATCAAATCTTATCTGCTGACTATTGAAAATGCAGAGACAAATCAGAGGATATGTTTTTTGAATGTGAGTCCTGATGAAGTCATTCGAAGTTTGTTCTACAATAAAAACAACGATTCTCTCATCACTGTTTCGGTCTATGCATCAGACAACTTCAGCTCCTTGAAATGCCGATCTACAAGAATTGAGTGTGTCTACAATTTCCCTATTTTTCACTTTTTTTTGTCAACTTCATTCTTCCATAATCCATATATCTGAATTGGGTGATGATGATGCCTTGTATTTTAAATGATTAGGTACATTCGAAGGGGTAAGCCAGATGCAGGTTTTGCCCTTTTTGAGTCTGAGTCCTTGAAGTGGCCAGGTTTTGTAGAGTTTGATGATGTCAATGGAAAGGTGCTAACATACTCAGCACAAGATAGGTACCTTTTCAGTCCATCTGCTTTGAGATCATCCAATGCGTGTTTTAATTATTCTTCTAACGTTTTTCTTATTGGTATTTATGGTCAGTATATACAAGGTTTTTGACCTAAAAAACTACACGATGCTGTACTCTATATCAGATAAAGATGTACAAGAAATCAAGATCAGGTACTCTCTCTCCTCTCCCCCACCACCCACCCCCCGCAGTCCTGCTTGCTCTCTCATTTCATACATTTGAATCTATGCACACCTGTTCAAGATGCATCCTTACCTTATTAATTATAAGATGCTGTTATTATGTGGAGGCTTTTCCCTTTTAGCCTTTTGTTAGTGTAGATGCATGACAAAGAATATACTCATCATGACAGTCAATTTGTATGGTCATTCACTTAACTTTAACATATAAACTATGCATCTTGTCTACCTTACTTCTGAAACGTGTCTGGTATGTTGGCCCTTGATTTGTTTGTTTTGCTTCATAACTGCCTTCTAACTTTTCCTATGTCTGGCTTCATCGGCATCAGTCCAGGCATCATGTTATTGATTTTGAATAGATCAAGTGGCTATGTTCCTCTTAAGATTTTGTCAATAGAAGATGGTACAATTCTCAAAGATTTCCATCATCTACTTCATCGAAATAAGAAGGTGGACTTCATCGAACAATTTAATGAAAAGCTTCTTGTCAAGCAGGAAAATGAGAACCTCCAGATTCTTGATGTGAGTTATCATTGTCTTTTGCAGCATCTATCTTTCAGCTTGGTGTTTGTTGTCTGCGCCAGTAATTTTATCTTCCTCATGCAGGTTCGACATACCGGTATTAGGGAAGTTAGCAGAACCGAGTTCATGACACCATCAGCATTTATCTTCCTGTATGAAAACCAGTTGTTCTTAACATTCAGAAATAGAACCGTTGCTGTTTGGAATTTCCGTGGAGAGCTGGTCACTTCATTTGAGGATCACCTCTTATGGCATCCTGATTGTAACACAAATAATATATACATAACAAGTGACCAGGATCTTATCATTTCGTACTGCAAGGCTGAATCTGACGACCAGTGGATGGAAGGAAATGGTAATTTTCATCAGCCTTTTGGTTAGCAAATACTATCTAGTGCTTAAATACTTATTGTTTATGCTGGATGATGTCTTGAATCATGCTACGTAGAACTTTGCTTGTTTTGCCTCTTAGAGTTTTGTTCTCTTCTCATTCTTGGAGAAAATTTGATCTTAATTCTATAGAATGCAATTATTATTAAATATAAAACTGAACATAGTATTATACTGGAGTTTGCCTGAAGAACATTTTGGTTTTTAATTGCTCAATTTTGTTTGCATGTTGTCTTTGTCAATTCTAGTTGCAATGCCTATTAACAGCTGGGAATGTTGTCAGACACTTTCAGGTTGTCCACTAGGAATAAAACTTGTTCTCGTCCAATGATGAGCCTACATAGTTCAAAAGAGCTTACTATAATTTAGAATTCCTTGTGAATTCTGTGCTTCGGTTTGTGTTAATAAGCTGCTTAGAACTGACCCAAAAGATGATGCAAAATTTTATCAGTTAATTTGACAAACTTTGTTTGAGTTAGGGCTTTGGTTAATTGTAATGAAGTGACTTTTCCAAACTGCTGCCTTGTTTCCAACCTTTCACTTTACATTATTATTTCAGCAACTGTTTTAAGTGACTTTATGCTTTTACCAGTCCCTATTAACTATCCATACGTGACTTGGTTAAGAGTTAGATGTGATATCATCTAGAGTCTGAGACATCTGTAGTAACAAATGCTGATCCTAAAAGCATGTATGCATGGCACAATGCTGTATCAACTTTTGACTTTTGGACGAGCATGAAAAATGCTAACAAATTGTTGGCAAGAGGAACAAATAATCATGGAGAATTTGGAACATTTATGTTCCTGACACTTTGTTGGTGTAAATTTTTTGGTCTGTGTGGTGTCCATGAGGACAATCTAAGTGGTCTGCATATGCCTGTTGATGTATGTTTCTGCATGAACTGCTTTTGTGGAAAGACCATTAAGTTATTGGACCTTTGTTCGTTTAAGACTTTTGGCAGTTGCCTTAATTGTTGCTGTGAAGAGAACATCTGATCGGACAATTATTAAATCTGACTGTCTGGTTCTTGATGCAGCTGGTTCTATAAATATCAGCAATATCCTGACAGGAAAATGCCTAGCTAAAATAAATGCCACCAATGGCAGTCCCAAGGATGAGAAGTGCAGCAGCAGTACTGGAAGCTCAAAGCAGAGTCGCTCTCCGATGAGAAGTGCAGTTGCAGAGGCTTTGGAAGACATAACTGCCCTTTTCTATGATGAAGAGCGCAATGAAATCTACACCGGTAATAGGCATGGTCTGGTTCATGTGTGGTCCAACTAAAGACGAGTTTTCATTATTTTCATTTAGGAACTTTGAAACTGCCAGTAGAGGATGTTGTGTCATTCCTGCACTACATAATGTATCTTAGATTGCATCGGAATGATTTGTATCAGTAGATATTTTTGGTTTGCCATGCAGCAGTTTGTACATTAGAATATAGGCAGCTTGATTGAGATTCAGAGGAGGTTAAAATGTCTGGCATAAGAATTCTATTGTAACATTCATTTATATTTGCCGAGTAAACAAGATGTTTGCTTGTTAATCATTAGTTTCTGCAACTGGTGCTGGTAATACAGAGGCAGGGTTGGCATTGTATGAGAAAAGCTTATGATTGTTATATCAATGCAAAGATATCTCTTGTTTCCAGGGGAAAGGTTTTGCTACATGTCGGATGACCAGTTACAGCTTTGTTTTGTACGTATCTTTTAAACCCGCAGCCATCTTTTTGACATCTCTACATTCTTCATTTTGACAAAACCATCCAAGACTAATAACAGAGCGAGGAGGATGTTGAGGGAAGAGAGGAGTAGGTTTCGGTGGGAGGACTACAAGTGTATAATGGGGGAGACGTAGTGTATGAAAAAGTTGCTATCAGAGCTGCTGGTTTGCATTCTCTAGTAAAAAATCGAAATGCATTGCTGCGGTGGTGCCTTCAGTATCCTTTCGTAATTTACTTGTTTAATGTATACTGTACATAGACATGCCTAGGCCTTAGATTTCCGATTTATAGTACCCACTCTACTTTACAGCAATGGAGTGGGTTATGCCCGGGGCATGGTTCCGTACGTGTATTGGGCATTTAGGTTCGATTTCCACCATAGACCAAATTCTTGGCAAAATTTTCAAATAGTACTTGATAATTTTACCAAATTGGTTAAAAAAGGCAATGGAAAACAGGAAAGTATTAAGACAGAGACAAGAGATCACGATCTAAGAAATGATGTAAGTAGAGGTGATGTAAATGTGACATTATTTTTTGATTTTTTTTATTTTTCTTTCATTCATTCATTTATTTATTGTTTGATAGGGGAAGGATCCCGAAACGAGTCATTTTCATTGTCATTTTCGAGATCAATTAAAGACTCGAACTAGTTTTTTTGTGATTCATCGAACGGCTCCTAAGCAACCGTTGCATGCTTGGATAAATATTCTTCTTCTATTTTGGCTTTGGCTAGGAGAGCATTGGCTTAAGACTTTTGGGCTAGGAAATTTGTGTGCATATCGGTGACAATCTCTTTTCTTTTATTTTATGGCCTTTGTGAGAAGAACCATGTCTCAACTGTTGCTTTATCTACTTTGCTTGATTGTATAAATTCATCTCGCCATTTTACCTTGAAGGTTCCAGTAAGCATGGGAATAAATATATTAGGATCATTATTGATTATGCCATCTATCTTGAATGAATATTCCCAAAAGAGAACCTAGGGACAAAGAATTTTGTTATATATAAACAAAAGTAAGGAAAAATTTACTCAAATTTTATAGGGATATATTTGTCTTTGAGGGTTATATATCCTTGGTAAGTACCAACTTGCAAAATTTATGGAATGGCACCAAACCATTTCCACCAAAAAATGAACAAGAAGGGCGGATGGTATTGGGCTTTGGTATTGAAGAAAATTAGCCAAGAATGTTTGATTAGTTTGTTTTGGATAAGGAAAGTATTATACCGAGCTTGTTGGTAGTCCCAGCATGTGTATGTATATTTAAAGGATAGGTTTTATGAAAATCTAGCTAGAAATTTCTTTGGAGTACCGAGGTCTTGACCCCAATCCATTGGGTGGATAATGTTTTGAATGTTGGCAATGGAGTAGGCAAGGTAGTTTTTTCTTAGCTAATGTAGAAATGTTTAATTTTCATGGATTTTGTCTTATTGAGTATGAATTCATAATAGGCTTGTGGCTTGGAGAGGTCCCATGGCTTTTAATGTTAGTTTTGAGGGAAGAAATTTGAGTCTGCAGATAAATGATTAGCATCATAAAATCCTTCAATCATCAAAATTATTTGATAAAAATCTTTTGCCATCTATTGAGAAGAAGGATTTTGGGAAGAAGTCACATTTGGAACAACATTTATGGAAATCGATCTTGAAGGAAAATTTTGTGAAATACTATTTTGAGGAACATTTTGCAAACTTGTTTGAGAAAGGGGTTTGAAAAACCTGGTTTGTGAAGAATAATATTATTTTTTTTTAGCAATTTGTTCAAGCAATTCAAAAATTGCTATGTTTTGTGGTTCGGATTCGGAGGCCAAATAGTCTTAGAGACTAAGCAAAATCTCTTGGTGTTGTGGGATAACGACTACTCATTTCCGGACATCTTTATTCTTTTCTTGTGGCTTTGAGCTACTACATTGTCCTTCGATTCTTTTGGAAATATTTGTTTTTAAAATCTAGTTTTGTATTGAGGAGATAATGGTTTTGTTGAGTTTTGTTAGGTTTGTTTACCTTTGTGATCTATTACATTAAAATTCTCGAGTGAGAAAATCAAGAATGGAATTTGCTTCTCCCTTTGTCGACTTTTTCCTTTGTAATAAAACCAAAAACTAGAAATATTAATATTATTAAAGTCCACCCCATTTATGAAAATCGGATAAATTAAGGGAGAAGTAAATTCCATTCATGATTTTCTCAATCGAGAAGTTTGGTGTAATAGATCATAATGATTCCTAGAAAACCCTCAACCGACAAAGGAAAACAAAACCCAACAAAGCTCAACAAAACCATTATCTCCTCAATACAAAAACAGATCTAGGAAACAAATATTTCAAGAAGAATTTGAAGGACAATGCCGCGACTTAAATCAACAAGAAAAGAATAAAGATGTCCAGAAATGGGTAGCTACTATCCCACGACAACGAGAGGTTTTGCTCGGTCTCCAAGACTCTTTGGCCTTCAAACCACATAGCACAACAATTTTTGAATTGCTTGAACAAATTGCCAAAAAATAAAAATAAATTATTCTTCGCAAATCAAGTTTTTCAAAATCCCTTTCTCAAACAAATTTGCAAAATGTTTCTCAAAACGAGTATTTCACAAAGTTTTCCTTTAAGATCGATGTCCACAAATGTTGTTCCAAATGTGACTTCTTCCTAAAATCCTTCCTCTCAATACATGGCAAAAGATTTTTATCAAACAATTTTAAGGATTGAAGATGGATTTTATGATGCTAATCATTTATCCGCAACTCAAAACTTCTTCCCTCAAAACTAGCATTACAAGCCATAGGACCTTTCCGAGCCCCAAGCCTACTATGAATTTATACTCACTAAGACAAAATCCGGGAAAATTAAACATTTCTACATTGGTCAAGACAAAACTACCCTTGCCTACTCCACTACCAACATCCAAAATGTTATCCATCCAATGGACTAGGGTTAAGACCTCAACACTCCAAAGAAATTCCAAGTCGGATTTTCATAAAACCTACTCTTTAACTCTACATACACATGTTAGGACTACCAACGGGCCTAGTATAATACTTTTTTTATCCAAAATAAACTAAACAAGCATTCTTGGCCAATTTTCTTTAATACCAAAGCCTAATACCATCCACCCTTCTGGTTCATTTCTTGGTGGAAATGGTTTGGTGCCATTCCACAAATTCCGCAAACTAGTACTTACCAAGGATATATAACCTTGAAATATAAATATATCCCCGCAAAATTTAAGTCGACTTTTCCTTCCCTTTGTTTATATATGACAAAATTCTTTATCCCCTAGGTTCTCTCTTAGGAATATTTATTCAAGAAAAATGGTACAATCAGCATCTTAATATATTTATTCTCATTCTTGCTAGAACCTTCAAGGTAAAATGGTGGGATAAATTTACATAATCTAGTAAAGCGAGACAAAGTGTAGTTGAGACATGGTTATCCTTACAAAGGCCACAAAATAAAAAAAAAGAGATTGTCACTAACATGCACACAAATTTCTTGACCCAAAAGTCTCGAAGCCGGTGTTCTTTTAGCCAAAGCCAAAACGGAAGAAGAATATTTCTCTATCATGCGAGCAATTGCTTAAGAGTCGTTACGATGAATCACAAAGCAAAACTAGTTCGAGCCTTTAATTGATTTCGAAGATAACAATGAAGATGACTATTTTGAGATCCTTCTCCCAATCAAACAATAAACAAATAAATGAATGAAAAGAAATAAAATAAAAAATCAAAAAATGATGTCACATTTACATCACCTCCACTTACATCATTCCTTACATCACCAAGCTCCATTTAACTTTGAAAAAGAATGTTCTCATTTTATATGTATGCCTCTTCAAAGGCCTATAAATAGGTCACTCCATCACTTTCATGGGCAAGCTTTTGGAAGTTCAAGATAAGGAAGCTCTTCATATTACAAAAGCTCTTTACAATACCTCCACCTCTCCTTTAGATAATTAGGAAGCTCATGTGTTGAGCAACCACCCCCACAAAGCTCTATAATTTGTATCTTCTAATAATCAAGATTTTGTACAATTATCTTATAAGTATTTTCTTTAAATATAAATTTTATTTATAATTTCATTACCTTATATTTACGTTAATTAAGGGTCGACTCTGCCGCCAATCTTTATTTCCTTTTAATTACATTGTATTAATTGTGATCGGCTCGTTGCTCGTGTGTTTTAATTTCATTTCATTTACATTGTTTATATTGCAATTTTTATATTGTTTCAATTACATATTTGCATTGCATTTACATATTTATATTGTTACATTGCATTAATATTAACCACTTATTAATTGATCTTTCATTTTCTTTTATTATTATTCATAGTTCATACCTCAATCCTTTATTTTTATTATTATTATGAATTATTATTCATAATTGATACCTACGATACTAATAGAAAAAAGGATCGGAGTATGAATTATGAATAATAATAAAAGAAAATAAAAGATCAATTAATAAGTGGTTAATATTAATGCAATATAACAAAATGAATATGTAAATGCAATGCAAATATGTAATTGAAACAATATAAAAATTGCAATATAAACAATGTAAATGAAATAAAATTAAAACATACGGACAACAAAGCCGACCACAATTAGTGCAATGTAATTAAAAGAAAATAAAGAGCAATGTAATTAAAAGGAAATAAAGATGGATGGCAAAACCAGCCACCGATTAATGTAAATATAAGGCAATGAAATTATAAATAAAATTTATATTTGAAGAAAATACTTACAAGATAGTTGTACAAAATCTTGATTATTGAGAGATACAAATTCTAAGTCTTTGTGAGGTGGTTGCTCAACACATGAACTTCCTAATTATTTAAAGGAGAGATGGAGGTCTTATAGAGAGCTTTTGTGACATGGAGAGTTTCCTTGTCTTGAGCTTTCAAAAGCTAGTACTTGAAAGTGATTTGGTGGCCTATTTTTAGGCTTTTGGAGTGGCATAGATATAAAATGAGAGCATTCTTTTTCAAAGTTGTGATGATTACTTTTTTGAAATGTAACCTTGGTGATGTAAGGAATGAAGTAAGTAGAGATAATGTAAATGTGAAATCTTTTTTTTTTTTTGATATATATATATATATATATATATCTATTACGAATATGTGAAAAGCCTACGACTAGAGGGCGTAATGGCTCTCTGCAACTTTTGGCGAAGTTCTATATGTCTCCGTATATTTATATAATAATCATTTGCTCAAAAATGCAAATATTCATTTTGTTAATTTTTTTCTTGACAACATCTTGTAGTGTTTTTGTACATGCATCTTTTTTCTTCAAATACTTATTACGAGTAACAAATTTTGAAATTAATTTCAAATAAAAAATTAATTCTCACTTCTATTTAGATGTGATTGTTTATTTAATCAATCGTATTTTCAATGAACATCAATCCCTTTTTCTTTTTTACTAAAAATAAAAACTTAATTTTCTAATAGAAATATAATAAAGTTGCAATTTTTTTATTTAAAATTGAATAATTTTGCAATTATAACTATAAAATACTATAGAAAATTCTTTTTTTTTCTTATGAAGATAGGTTTTTCTTGGTTTTCAATTTTCTTGTAATAATAAATTGAATACAACACATGTATGCATTTATATTTTCTATTAATATTTATATTTTTTTATTAAAAAAAATGTGTAAGTGTTTGCCAACACATTATGGCAAGCATGTCGCAAGTTAAGTTGTTTTAAAAATATTTTCCATTTTAGTCACTGAACTTATAAATTATTCAATATAGTCTCTATGTATAAACTAATGGCTAAATAAATTGATGAACAAGATGATTTGGTTTGTATGCATAAATTTTTAAATAATTTTAAATTTTAATTTATTTAAATCCATAAAATTTAAATTTATTCAATAATTTTGCAAAATTTAAAAAGTATAAGCTAAAAAAATGTAACAATAATTGTTTTTTTTTTGTGCCTTTATAAAATGGTAGTTCACCGGGCACGGGAGGTAAGGCATGCACCTTTGTACACACGTATCTTCCATTTTTATTTAAAAAAAAAAAACACTTCTAAAATATTTAAAATATTATCTCCCTCTATGGAAACAATACCTATAAAATTATACTCAATCTGAAACATCTAAGCAATTGTATTAAATATTAGGATTAAAATGTAGATTTCTTAATTAGGTCAAATATTTTGGGTTGAATAATTTATCAATTTAATGAAAATAACTTTAATTTGTTTATATAATAAGTACGTCTGTATTATATGAAAAATATTAAAATACTCATATCCACTCGAATATTTTTAATTTAAAGATGCAATTAAAAATCTAAATTGCGTACTTATTATATGTAAAGATGCAATTAACAATCTAAATTAAAGAAAAAAAAACTTTATTTGAATTTAATTTAACGAATATATTTTAAAAACTTCGAAAATTGCGTGCGGCAACGCTTTCGCAATTCACTAGTTAGATTTCAGACAACCTGGATCCACTGACAAGAAATTGTCTCCAAACAGTCCAGTCCAATCTAACGCTCATCTCAGGCAACAACAACAACAAAGAAAATAGGTCGTATTGATTGAAAATTACAAAAGCCCAAGAAAAAGCATGATCCAACTCACACGCTTTCCATTTTAAAACACCTTAGTAACAACATTCTTACGCATGTGTATAACATAATTTGGATAAAGCATCAGATTTGTCAAATGTTGGTATTGCAGTGTTCAAAATGGCTACATCAACAGATTTTACTCTTTCCATCAGCCGCCGATTGCATGTGCTCTTCTATTTGTACAAGTTCAAGAGGTTGGCACTCGCTAGCTAGGCAAAGAAAGATTGAATTTGTTAATGGTATTAGTGTTTTCCATTCAGAACATTTCTCACTTTCGAACCTTGAATTTATAAAGGAAAATAAAAAAAATATATTGGAAAGACAAACTTTATTTATTTTTTTATCCTCAAAGTATCCCAAACTCAAAAATCTAGATTAACTTTTTGTTTTTTTGTAATACGTATACAGCTAATAAAAAAGATTTCTACATACATAAAAACTAAAATTTGATATATTTATCTAAACGACTAGAGTTTTTTCCATTCAAACTAACCTTTTTTAATAACACAAACTTTATTTAAACATATGGATTTCCTAGTGTTGCCAAAAGTCCAGCCATTTTGGTGCCGTGTAGGTAATGGGTACCCACGACGTCCATAAGGAAGTAGAGGTCATTTAAGCTTTCTCCAAAGAAAAATACAGGGATGCATGATGACTTGCAAGATTATTATTATTTATTATCAAATGAATACGTGAGCGTGGGTAAACGGAAAGTAAAATAAAAGGAGAAATAAAAGAAGGAAGTTGCCCAATTTAGTGGATTGCATTTTGCCTTTGCCTTTGCCTACACATAGGCAGAAGGTGGCATTGGCATCGCAAAGCAGAAACCAAATGGATGGAGGAGTAGACAGGCAGTTGGCATGTAAGTCGGGAGGAGCTGATTCTTCACCCCAAATATATCTTTAACTCTTGCGCTTCTTTAGCCAACTCCCTCTCTCTCTCTCTCTCTCTCTCTCTCTCTCATCCAAGAAGATGAAATTTTCTCTTTTCCTGTTCTTGTCAAGAATGAAGGGATAATTAATCAGACTTGGTTAGTTTTTGCTCACTTCTTTTCATCCTCGTTGCGTAGATAATATTGTAAATTTATTTGTATTAGGACATAGGAGGCCAAACAAGAAGGAGAGGATCAAATATTAGAGGTGAATGTTAGTTGATAAAAGGAGGAAGAAGGGAAGGAAGGAAGAAAGGGTTGGAATGGAGGGGTTGGAAGGGCTGATACGTAGGCTGTTGGAAGCGAGGAATAATAGAGGGAAACGCATTCAGTTGAATGAACCTGAAATCCGCCAACTTTGCATCACCGCCAAGCAAGTCTTTCTTGCACAACCTTGTCTTCTTGAATTAGAAGCTCCCATCAACATCTGTGGTACGTTTATTTTTTTCCTACTTGCTCTTTCTTCTTACATATATGTTACCACCCCCATTTAATTTTTATTTAATGTAGCAATTTGCATGCCTTTTTAATAATTATATGTTTAATTTTGTTCCATCTTTATGTTGGCCATTGACTGTATTTTGCAATTCTCATCTTCCATTTCACTCTTTCATTTACATTGCATAGCTGTTAAAGTTCTCTCATAGAATTTGCAAATTGACCTGCAAATGACAGCCTTTTGGACTCCCATATCTCTGCAGAAAAATTACATGCCAATCATGTTTCATACTTGATACATATTGTCATTGGTATTGTTGTTGTATGCAGGTGATATACACGGCCAATACCCAGATCTCTTGCGATTGTTTGAGTATGGAGGGTTTCCAGCAGATTCAAATTATCTATTTCTTGGAGACTATGTAGATAGAGGAAAACAAAGTATAGAGACCATATGCCTTCTCCTTGCTTACAAGATCAAGTTCCCTGACAACTTTTTCCTTCTTCGAGGGAACCATGAATGCGCTTCTATCAACCGAATATATGGATTCTATGATGAGTGCAAGCGTCGTTTCAGCGTCCGCCTATGGAAAATTTTCACGGACTGCTTCAATTGTTTACCGGTGGCTGCAGTGGTCGATGACAAAATCCTATGCATGCATGGCGGACTCTCGCCAGAAATGAATAGCTTGGATCAGATCAGAGCCATAGAAAGGCCAGTAGATGTGCCAGACCAGGGACTTTTGTGTGACCTCCTTTGGGCTGATCCTGATAGGGACGTGAAGGGTTGGGGTGATAATGATAGGGGTGTCTCCTATACCTTCGGGGCCGATAAGGTCACTGAATTCTTGAAGAAACATGACCTTGATCTCATATGCCGAGCTCACCAGGTCTTCCTTAATCCCTCGTCCCATTTCTTCAACTCAAGTTCATTGCCTTCCTTTCTGCCCTAATATCTGTACTAAGAATAAGCTAAAATGCTCTTCCATTTGGTAAATGATTGACAGGTAGTTGAGGATGGCTATGAATTCTTCGCCGACAGGCAGCTGGTTACCATATTCTCCGCACCAAACTACTGTGGAGAGTTCAACAATGCAGGCGCACTTATGTGTGTTGACGCTAGTTTGCTCTGCTCATTTCAGATTCTCAAGCCATGGAGAGGGAGATCAGGGCAAAATGAATAGTTCCTATGTGAAGGGAGAAAAATGTTGGAAGCCCAACGAAGGAAAGAGACGTCTATCATCAACTAGACACTCTTGCCTCTTCTCTCATTGTACAAATTCAGCTTCAAAAAGAAAGAAGCTTGGGTGTCCTCCCATGAGTATTATCCATGCTGACCGATTGACGATGAAACGGAGATGTATATAATAATATCTTATAAATGCAATTGCTTCATGCTCTTCAAACACGCATACAAGGAGACAACCCTGAAGGGATTGGTTTTCTTTCTGTCATGCATCTGTAGGTTCATAACCTGCTTGTAACATTTTTGGTGCAGATCTCTCCAAATATGTTGCCAGGACATCATATTGATATTGTATTCAATATTCTCTCTTTAAATTTCTTCGTCATTGTAAGTTCCTTCCAATTCCAACTCCGGATCCAAGTATGAAAATTATTTCAAGCATGACCTGTACTGCTAGTTTCTCATCCAAGTGTATGCCCATACTTTCTATTGCAATACCAACGCCAATAGTATATATATATATATATATATATATATATGCGTATGCTTGCAGCCACAACCCTAAATAAATTTTGGAAACTTCACTCCTAAAACCCCCAGTCTGGTAGCTGCTGTATTCACGACCAAAGCAAATACTTCCTTGACCAGTAAATTAAGGCATAACAGGCTTCTCTGAAAACCTTAATCCATACAAAAAGCTGCGACATGGACGTACCAAAATAGCTTCCAGAGTTTTCAGACAATGTTCAGGGACATGTTTATTTCACTGCAACAGATATATTTACTCAAACCTTCCATTGTCAAGTAACTTAATAATGCACTTACGTCCAATCAAGATATGACATAGGCAACAAGAGGTGTAGAGTGCATGAACGCTTAAATGTCCATTACATTTCAATTTACTAATTGAAATGCTATAGACCTTACAACACCTCGACCTCGACCCGTCCCTTCAGCTATGAACATTTAATTATTATGTTTTCCATGGAAAGGGGTAACAACAATATGAAAATGAATCGCCACTCACAAATAGTTGGTGATAGATATTCTACACTTGCGTCTGCATAGTGGCCAGATAGGCAAACAGGATCAATTTCATTCTTAAAAGAAGATAGAAATGTTGCAAACTCGGCAGGTAAAGATTGATTGACATAAATTGCAAGCATCATATGCGTTATGACAAAGTTCAAATGCTACATCACCAAGATGATGAACCAAACATCTTTTAAGATAAGCTATATAACTTCACCACAGGGAAGCACTCCTGGAAAAAACATGATGGAAGCCAAAAGCTACAGCTCCCGAAATCTTGTAGCCAGGCAATGCGCAACTTCAGAATTGAGACTTGTCAAGGCTATCGAAATAGGGATGCTCCATAGCTGCTTTGGCTGAGATTCTTTCGGCTGGATCATACTTGAGCATCTTCTGCATCATCCAACACAAAATTATATTAGTATAGAGGTAATAATGACTAACCAAGAGAGCCAAAATGATAGATTAGTAGTCAGCCTGGAGAAAGTAGTTGCAGGACAAACTTTTAATTAGTTTATCTTAAAACATAGCATTTGCTTCTTCCAACTCGCATCACCTAAAAAATTTATTTTCACGTTCCTATCCACACCATTGTTATCATTCGTACGCTACTTCCAATTTTGTTAGTTTGAGCAATATAGTAATTGGAAAACATACACAAATCCTGAGAGTATTTCATATCAGTGTGATCTTCATCACTATTTGTTAGCGCGAGCATGACAAGGATGTGACAACAGAAGCCAATTGTGAAAAATATTTAAACCAGTGTAAACTAGACTTCACAATAATGAAACGTCAAGCTGACTTAATCCATAACCTATACTCCAAAAATTACTTGACCGTAGATATACCAAGTCTTGGGTTGAATAACTGGAGCACAGCAAACTAGACTCGCAACATCACAGTTCTCATAAAGCTTTCAAAATCATAGTTGTCTATAACTGATCAAAACAAAACAAACCATGAGATAGCAAAAACAATTCTATAGCATAAGCTATGACAAATGCTACATTGGCATTCAATTCAAACCAACAGGCCAATCCAGCTTTTGATTTGCACTTTTCCATCCATAGAACTAGAAGCTTACAATTGAAAAGGAAATACAGTAGTAGTAGTAGTAGTAGTTACCGATAAGAGGTCCACCCCTTCAGGTACCAGAGATGGAACAGCTCGGGAAAGGTTTTGAGGCTCCCATCTCGGATAGACATGCCAATCTCTCAGAGCAGTAACTCCTGGCCACTGCTCTTCAGTCGGTGTTCCTAACAGCCTTCCAATTAATTGGTAGCAATTAGCATACAAATTTATGGAATTCGTTCATTCATAATTAATCAATACACTGATTGCTATACGGTAAAATGCATAAAAGGCCATTCTTTATCCATAAAGCCCAACATTTAATACCTGAAAATATGCAGCAATTGTTGAAACTCAGAGTCACCAGGAAACAGAGCTTGCCTTCTCGACATTTCAGCTGCAAAAGGCAAAAAAATCAGCGAATCTTATCGAGATTTTCATCAAACACCAAAAAAACAAAATGACAAGGAATCGATATTAGTTACCAAAGATACATCCGACGGACCACATATCGACGCCAGTGGAGTAATGAGTGGAACCAAGCAACACCTCAGGAGCCCTATACCAAAGAGTAACAATCTCGTGGGTATAACTCTTAAGAGGCACGGTGAAGGCACGACCTAATCCCAAATCAGCAATCTTGAGAATCCCTTTCTCCTGATCAAGAAGCAGATTCTGAGGCTTGAGATCGCGGTGAAGCACACCGTGGCTATGACAGTGAGCAACTCCCTTACAAAGCTGGAACAGAAAACTCTGTATCAGCGAAGGCGAGAGGGGCCTAGGGTTGGCACCTTTGCGGTGAGAATCGATGAATTTTTTGAGATCCGTGTCGAGATATTCGAAAACCAAGTAGAGATTGGATTTGTTGTTGTTATGATTGCGCTTAGAGGGATTGGAGTCATCGAGATTGGAGTTAGGACTATTGGCGTCAACGTGTTCGACGGAAAGGAGGCGGACGACGTAGAGAGATTGTGAGAGCATTTGAAGGAGAGAAACCTCGCGGAGAGCAGTAGGAGGGACGCCTTCTTCGTCCATTTCGAGTCGTGTTTTTTTCAGAGCGACGAGTTGGCCTGTAACTTTGTCTTTGGCTTTGTAGACTTTGCCGTATGTGCCTTCGCCTACCTTCTCCAGTTTCTCATACTTTTCCATTTTCCTCTTGTTTTCTTCACTATTGCTTTGATGATCTGATCATGTACGGGAGGGAAGAGAAAGAGGGAGCAAACCCTAGGTTGGACTAGCAACGGTTAATTCTTTCTGTTTGCATCTTTCATTAGGGAATATAGAGAGAGGAAATGAGAGAGATGTATTCTTTGCTTTATTTTGAAATTCAAATTAGGAAGAAAAGGAGGGAGGGAGAGAGTGTCGGTTGCGTCAGATCCAACCCAACGGATCGGAGCGTCTCTCCAGGGTAGGTCCAACATGGAAAAACAGCCACCTCTCTGCTTTTTCTTTTGAATTTTAAATCATCTTATATTATGATTATTGTTGAGTAGTAATTGTGACAAACGAAAGCAGGAAAATAAATTAATTACTTTGGTCGGGTGGGAGTCTCATGTTGGGACCCATATTGGAGGTGGAGCCTCGAAGTCCAAACCGTTTTATCATTTAACCCCTTCTTTTTTTAACTCTTTATTTACTATATTGCTAGGCCACGAAATCATATAAATTAAAACATGGGCTTAAAAGCCCATTTGAAAGAAAGTAGGCCTAAAGCTACCCGACAAATTTCAAGAAGCCCACTTAGATCGCAATCCTCTCTCTTCTTAAAAGTCCAGCTGATACACATCCTCATCTTTCTTGAGTAAATTATAAATTAGTCCCTCTTGTCTCAAGAAATGATTATTCGTCCTCTTATTTTAAAAACTAACTCTTTAGCTTTTGTGCTATTTTTCAATTTATTTATTTTTTTAAGAAATAGAAAAAAATAAAAAGTAAAAAAAATATGAAAAGAATATATTTTATAAAATAAAAAATATTAAATTAGTCACATGAACACTAAACAATTAATTTTCAAACCTAGAGGGAATAAATTAATCAGTTTCTCATAACAAGAGAGACTAATCTATAACTTACTATATTCTTTTCAATTTTCCCAAGGACAAAAAAATAATAATAATAATAAAATAAAAAAACCGGCGTCAAGTCCAGCTGACATGCAGCCTGCATTTTTTGAGGTAAATTATAAATTAGTCCCTCTTGTTTCAAGAAATGAATTATTATTCTCTGTGATTTATAAGAAAAGAATATATTTTAAACAATACAAAATATTAAATTAAGGAACTAATTAATCCGTTTCTCAAAACAAGAGAGACTAATTTATAACTTATTATATTCTTTTCAATTTTCCCAAGGACCACAAAAAAAAATAATAATAAAATAAAAAAATTACTGGCGACATTCCATCATAAATGAAGAAACTGTCCAAGAGTAGCCTCTAAACATATTCAACGAACCACTTTCCCAGTCGTCTTATACCATTATATTTTAGTTTAACAAATTCAGAATGTAGCTACAACCAAATCAGAGAGTACGCATATCCACCATACCAAAACATTCGATGCATCTTCTCATGGGTAACTCGATGAAAACATATCACAAACAAGAAGAAAAATAGTAAGCCGAACATTAAACTGCCATTTGAAATACATTTCTGTCATACACCGATGGGGCAGAAAATAAATGTTCACTCTGAACCGAGAATGATATAGCCCACTAGGCCGGTGAGCAGAATAAAAAATAAAACTTATTTAACCGGATAATAGAATGTACTCAACAGGCTTCCGCAATTATAGTTGCTAATAATCAAAATTTAAGGAATACTGGTGATGTGTTTCGATTAAACTGCACTTCTCCTAGTTATCGATAACTTCAATGAGAGTGGGCTCATAGTCGCTAGGAGCCTCAAATCCATGAAGATTCATCACAGTTGCAGCTACATTGGCAAGTCCACCAGTGGGAACATCATTGCGGAACCTGACACCAGCTTTCAATCCAGGGCCTCCAATTGCAATAGGCACCTGCACGAGAAAGTGAGGAAATTAAATATCTTGTCAACCCAACAAAATGAAGAATAGAACGCAATGAAACCCCCATGCTTCTAATCCTTCAATGGAGAGTGAATCTCAATGTTACTTACTGGTTGAAGAGTGTGAGAAGTGAGTATCTGGAGCTTGCCACTTTTATCCAAAAGGGGTTTACCAGACTTATCCCTCTTGACCATGTCTTCAGCATTGCCATGATCAGCAGTAATTAAATAGATTCCACCAACTTGCTCTACTGCATCAATGATCATCTGCAGTAAAAAAATATCTCCAGTCAGCAACAAGGCACCAACATGCCAGGAATTGGGAAGGGATTAAGAGTCTTAAACAGAGATTATACAACTCACTCAAGGAAAAACAAATCATTTTTTTATGTGCATCTCTCGACCTGTGCATTGTGTATAAACCTTTTAACTATTCATATTTTCCCCTTGACCCTGCATCTACAACTCTGCCTCTAGTTATTGCATGTCAGTCCAAAGTTTGGAAGCGGCTTTGCACATCACATCTGTAAACTGCACCGGAGCAACTTTTTATTTGACATTTACGAGGTCAAGTATAGAATTTTAAAAAGGCAGCTACAATTACTTCCAAGTATCCCAATGTTCGCTCCGTGGACTGGTTCTTGTAAATATTGTTTGATCTAATTGTGTTAGCTTTAATCCAATGAAACATAAATCACCGAATGGTATTTCCCGAGTATTAATTCAAATGTCGACACCCAAATGACGAGAGAACAAAATTACTAAGAATAAAAGCATCACTACTGCATGACACCATACCGCAATCAACTGCAAATCTCAACACCTACTAAAGAACTTCACTGCTCAAAAGAATTTGTGACACCAGATGGACTGGTTCATAGGTTACTCTTGAGATCATGATGACGTAGCAGCAATCAGTCTTGAAATCATAGTAGCATAGCAGCAATCAATTTCAGAAAAAAGAAAAAAAAGTATGTATATATATATATATATATATATATATAACAGCAATGAAGTTGTACCTTGACAGCCTCATCAGCAACCTTGCATGCTACGACTGTGGCCTCAATGTCTCCAGTATGTCCCACCATGTCACTATTTGGTAGATTGACACGAACCTAAACAACAATGTGAAACAACATATCAAACACAAGTTCAAATTGAAATGGGAGTTCATTCATCACGTGTTACATGGCCTTAATTACCTGGTCAAATTTCCCACTAAGGATGGCGTCCCTTGCCTTTTCAGCAATCTCTATTGCCTTCATCTTAGGTTGGACATTGAATGAAATTCCACTATCACTTGGAATTTCCACATATTCCTCCAATTCTTCATTGAAATAACCAGAACGATTTCCATTCCAGAAGAAAGTGACATGGCCAAATTTAACAGTCTCACTGTTGTACAAAAACCCAAACACATGTAAGAAAATAACTAGAACTTTGAAGAAGATGGAGCCAAACAGGGGCTGGACTGAGTAATCAAAGAATTGTTAAATAGAATAACTGGACTATCCCAAAGAAAAAAAAATATAGGGATAAACCAGCAAATGAGTATCAACAGAATGTACAATCTTATAAGTTGCAGGCCTAGACTAGAGGCCACCCTTGACAAATAAATTTACTGACTAGTGTATTATTTTTCTGCCAGAATATGGGTCTGAAATGAGTTAATCTGTCCATTTATAACGAATCTAGTTGCAATCCAGAACAATTAAAACGACTAATGCCACACATACAGAAACAAGAAAAAGAACACAGGCAGTTTCATGCATGCAAAGAGCATTCTAGGTGCAGGATACAGATCAAGATATCGATGGCACTAGCTCACCTGCAAGCAAAGGTGCGAATGCCATTATGCACCAAGTATTCACCAGATGTTCTATCTATCTCAGGAGGAGAGACAAGGTAATGGCTTGGAAGCTTCAACTCGCCATCGTATTGAAGCATTCCAGCGTAACGGATTTTAGGGACTCGAACCCGATCAAATTTGTCAAAATCCTCATATTCAAGTGCCTTAGCGAGCATAACCATGCGATCTGCTCTGAAGTTGAATGTGACAACAGCATCACCATCCTTAATCTGTCCCACAGGATTTCCACTCTCATCAACAATGACAAAAGGAGGCAAGTACTGGTCATTTGCATTGGGTTCTGCCCTCAGTTTCTTGACAGCTTCGAGAGCACTTTTAAACTTGTATGGGGCTTCACCAAGGACTTGGGCATCCCATCCTCGTTTCACCACATTCCAATCATTCTGCAGCAGATTTACAGAAGGATTCAGACATACACAAAGAAATAATGCTAAATCTATAACTCTAAAGAAGCACACAAGCCTTATATCTATAACAATATTTGAGGAAAAAGATCACTTTAGGAGATTATGCAAGTTACTTGAAATTGAGATCACCAAGGGGCTAATTACGATCCTCTTCCCAAATTATAAAAGAAGGATATCCATTACCTTCATCTTATCAACAACAATAAAACCTTAGTTCCAAACTATTTGGGGTCTGCTATACTTTTGCACCATTCAGCATGATCATAAACTAAATCCTCCTCAATATCAAAATAGTTTAAATCCTTTGGTCTCCCTCTACCTCTTTTACCTTCATCTTATCAAGGAATCTTAATTTGCATCAGATTAGTTTGTAGGCACGCCATTAATACACATGCTGCATGTCACTGGTTAACACCCACAAAGACCAAAGTGGCTAAGAATAATTCTTCATTCCTCCCCAAAATCTTAAGTTGACTACATCTAGGTGTCCTTTTTCCTCTGTCCTAGCCACCTCTCTTTTGAGGAGAATAGGGGCTTTTAAGCCCCCAATGGTGTGAAAGATATGATGCTAAGACTAGAGTTTACATAGTAACATAATGCAAAACAGAAAGAGAATGAATTCATACGAGAAAAGACCATAAAATGATACGCATCACTGCCATCCTTCCCCTTAAAAAAGGGGGGATTACAACCATACCTCATAGCGGTCCATTGTGACATACATGCGACCCCCACCAGATGCAATTTGTGCATCAACACCTTTCTCACGTAAATTTGACAAATCCTTCTCAAGAGTCTCCACAAAGCCGACACTTGACCCATCTAAAACATCACGGCCATCAGTGAGAATGTGAACACGGATTCTTTTGGCACCCTGTTCACTGGCACCTTTCAGCAACAACTGCAGAAAGAAAGATGAAGGGAAAAAAGTGTCAGGGAAAATCCTATATAATTTCAGGAGAACAAGCTAACCAGCTAAGAAAGTAATAAAAAACAGAGCTTACCTGCAACTGATCAAGCCTTGAGTGAACTCCACCATCACTCAATAACCCAATGAGATGCAAGGTACCATTGTCAAAACATTCCTTAATGTACTTGAATCCCTCTCCGTCGTAGATTTTCCCAGAGGCAAGAGCAAGATCAACAAGCTTCGCTCTACATTCACAAGTAAATAAACAACAGAAAACATGTTAAAAGCATAGTCATATAGTAACTGTTAAGAGAATAAACCATCTGCATCTACATAAGAAACCATTGGCAGTGACAAAATGCAATAAAAAAAAAATCAGATAGGAAGATCATTAAAAAACTTAGCATGGAATAGGACAGGAGAAGTTAGTTGGTTAGTTAATTACCCCTGAGCAAAGATGCGACCAGCACCAAGAGCGTTGTGACCAACTTCACTGTTTCCCATGTCATCCTCACTTGGAAGCCCAACAGCAGAGCCATGGGCCTTAATCAATCTCCATTTCTCAGGGGCAGTCTATCCGAACAAGAACAATACACAATCACAAATATTAAACTTAATGGATGCAGTTATTATTATATAAGAATAACATGTAATGATTTGGGGGGGGGGGGGGGGGTTGTGGTGGTGGTGGTGGTGGTGGTGGTGGTGGTGAATATTAGATTAGATTATTAGCAACAAAAATAGGGAGCAAGTAATAACTAATAATCATACAGAAAAAAAAAAAAAAAAAGCGAGAAAGTACAGTTTTGAAGGAATCCATGGTAGGAGTATTGGCGACATGGATACAGTTATATTGATCGGGTTTAGCCTCACCCCAACCATCCAAAACCACCACAGCAATAGTCTTCCCTTTTGGAAGTTTAGGATGATCCGCCAATTTCAACGTCTGTCCTGAGCTACCCATTTCTTTCAGATTTCTGATGACTGATTCGATTCAATCAACAAATCAATTAATTAGACAGAAACAAAAGCAGCTAATTAACCAATCAAACATAAGAAAAACTACAGGCTATGTTATGTTATGTTATGCTATGCAGGATGGAGGGAGATACCTGTCAAACGAAACAAAGTTGGAGGAGAAGAAACCAAGGCTTTTCGTTTCTGAAACTAAAGTTGGATCTGAGTGGGTAGTAATGGTTAGATTGGTATCGGTAGTGACAAAAACCACGTCTGTGGCCGTTGGATTTATGTAATACTACTGCCAGGTACGTTGATTAATTGATTAATTTAAACGCCGTTTAAATCGCTGCTTTTTAGGGTTGGTAAAATATTCTTTAGTCTCTTAGTCTTAAGAATGGTATAACATAGTCCTTTATATTTAATAATTTATAGCTTAATCCTTTGAGTCTTAGAAATATTATTAGATAGTCCCGAATTAACAACTCAAATGTAAGAGTTGCAAGTCCATGCGATGGTGAGATATACACGTGGCCTTATTTAACGTGTCTGCTTTTGAGGACTACTGGTGCCTTGTTTTTATTACACTCACGTATATCTCGCTTGTCTTTTAAAAATTAGAGGAATCCTTGCAATATTTTTTTAACACTTTTTTTAAAATATTTGTTCTATAAAAATATTGACCTCCAAATTTTTTTAATTACTTATAAAATTTAAATAAAATAATAAAAAACATGAGATAACTTATAACTTATGTTCTATGTTTTTTAGAAAAATCTTAAATTACAAATAATTTTATATTATTTAAAAAATTAAAATATTCATTTTTTTTATTTATTTAGCTTTAAAATTATCTGAAAAACTATTAAGTTAAAACTAAGAGTTAAGATTTTTTTTTCTTGAATGCAAATATTGAATATTTTATCTTTACAACAAATGAATAATTATCAATTATACTCGTTGTTTTATGTAAAAGAATAAAAAAATATTTTAGCTTTTTAAATAATATGAGATTGATTGTAATTTAAATTTTAAAAAAATGAAATATTAATTATCTTTTGATTGGTAATTTTTGGTTTAGATGTTTGAGATAGTTAAAAAAGTTTGATGTATACGTTTTTCTTGAATAAGTGTTTGAAAAAAATGTTAAAAGAGATTATTGCTAGCATTTTTCTAAAAATTATTCACTTTAAATATGCTTCTTCTTTTTTTAATTCTTTCAATAATTGTAAAAAAAAAAAACATTATTTAGTTGAATAATAAGATTATTTCTATACAAAGCTTGAAAACGTCTTGAATTGGGACTAATGTTAAAGGAATAAGAGGTGAAATTTTATAATACATCGGGAATAACTAGTGGTATGTACGGTAACTACTCCATGGATCCACTTTGAGTAAAGAGATAAACACAAAAAACGAGATAAATTACATTCATATCCATCAAAAGCGATAAGAAGATTTTCACGTCTCGCTCAAATTTTTTTATTTTCTCTCTCTCTTGTGTCTATCTCTCTCCTCAAAGTGAGCCAATGGAGTAACTACCGTATATGCCACTAATTATTCCTAGTGTATTATAAAATTTCTCATAATAAGAGAATAAAGCAAAATACCACTACAAAAAAAATTAGTTCTAATACACCAAAATCGAAGTAATTAAATATTGATTGGAAAAAAAAAACAAAGAAAAAAACATAATCAACTTTTTTTATGGGAAAAAATATTTTTATTAATATAATGCTTGATATTTTTACAATAACATCCTTTAGGATTTAAAACTTAAACTTCTGTTCATTTAATTTGGAATATTAGAATTTATATAATTTAAGTAAGTTGAAACATCTGATCTAAAGATAATTAATTAAGGATTTATACAAAAAAAAAAAATTGCTATTTGGATTCATTGTCCTCGTTATTAATTTGTTAGATTCATTGTTCTCAAATTAATATTTAAAAAATTAAGAAAAAATTAAACCCCTTTTTAATATTAAATATTTTAAAATATTATGGAGTTGGAATTTTTCATACTGTTTTTTTTTTATATATAAAAAAAAATCAGTGGTTGGAATTTATCATACATTTTTAATTGTGGCTTTGGTTTTGCATCTCTAAGAAGACGATAGATTTTTTATGGAACAATAAATAGTATTATTTGGTTAAAGATCCTCAATTGAATTATAAATCCGAAATTACTATATATTTTTTAGCAAAATTCATTTGGTTTTTCTCTAAACCCTCACTTTATTGTTGGTTTTTCTTTTTAAATTTTAAATTGTGAAAAATTATATCTGAGATATTAAAAAAAAAAACCAACATCTATTTTTCTAAAATAATGGTTAAGGAACTAATTTATAGATTTTCAAATAAGAAGAACTATGTTATAATCACGTTGAAAATTGAGGGACTAAAATTTACTCAACACAGTAACCGATCGCTCCCTACTCCTCGTGCATCAGGCGGCCAAGCCATTCTTCTCGAACTTTTCACCTTTCCTTTTTTAAAAGTTTCATACAAATTTAATTTAACAACTTCAGCTTGATTGTCAAGTAATGGAATATTCCTTATTGTTCCCTTTATTATCCTACTACCGCCTTCCAGCGCATGCCTCAGCCCTAACCTTTTTTTTAAAAATATATATAGAAAAAAGATCTTATATCTTTATTAAGACAAAACCAAAAACTCAACCAGGTCAAACAAGTCAAAAGACAGCAAATCCAAAACAGCGGACGGTGGATCATCAGTCCTTGTAAATATTACTGATTAAAAAAGGAACATATATAAATAATAAATAATTTATTTTAATTATTATCATCGCCTTTTTTATTAGAGCAAATTATTCAACACATCCAAAACTATATTCTATTTTCTTATTTAAAGATCAAATTCGTAGATAATTTGATCATTCTTATTTTTATTAGAGGGAATTATTCGATATTTGTCTTCAAATATTTTATTTTCTTCATATAAAGATCAAATTCGTGGCTAATTTCCACGATGAGTATTATATTTACATGAAAAAATATACAATTTTGATATTGACAGTAATTTCTCCACTGCTCTTCTAGACAAATAAATTGTCGTATTTGTTTGTTCACAGAGACAAAAACAACAAGAAATAACTATCAATTTAATTTGTTTGATCTTGCAATTAGTTATTCTTTGTCGTGAGTGAGAGAAAAATAAAACAGATTTCGTTATAAGATCAGACAATTTGTTTGTTAGGTCCGATAGAAAATTAGAAAGAGAGAAAGTCTCCTCTCAATATTTTCTTACCTACCTATCCGCACCTAACAGGCTAACATCTTCGTCCGCGTGCTTGGATTTTTTGCTCGCTCGCCGTTTGTGGATTTTTTTTTTTTTTTTCTCTTTTGTTTTTTATCTTGAGTTTAAAGTATATATATTGCACTATATTATTTGATAATGAGAAATTTTTATTTAATTCATATCTTAGCTAGATTGATAGATAGACAGATAGATTTTTGCTCACTCACCGTTTGTGGAAAGCATTTTGTTTCCTTTTTATTTTATTTTTCATTTTATCTTGATTGCAAAGTACTATTGTTACAATTATAATATATTGCACTAGTTTCTTTAATAACGAGAAAACCCGTGTTTTATGAAAAAAAGAAAATCAAAATTGCTGCTTTCACATGGTTCCAATGGTAAAAAGTAAAACATTCGCTAGCGAACCTAATGACTAATTACAAATTACTCTTTTTAGTTTTGAAAAACGAAATAATTAGTTTATTATAGTTTAAAAACTAATTATTTAGTTATTTTCGTTTAATTTTTTTAATTGATCTTTTTTTTCAATTTATTTTATCTTTTAAAGAAATAGGAAAAAAATACAAATAAATATTATGAAAAAATTGATAAAAAAAAATTATTTTTCAAAATAAAATAATATGAAATTAAGAATAGTTAATACCCATCATCAAAAGACTAAATAATTAATTTTTAAAAAAATTAGTTAATTGGTTTCTCTGCCCAACTTAACTTAATTCGGTGTATGCAAACCAAATCCATTTTTGTCATTGCTTACAAAAGTTATCCATGCTATTAGATAAATATATTTACAAAATATTACTTTCAAATGGCCATTTCTTATATAAATTTGAAAAGCGAAGCATGCAAGCATCTAAGGAGTTATAAAACTAAATTCAATCGTCTCGTTTTCCTTTCTTTGTGAGAATCTAGCTATATGATCCATTCGCATTTGCTTACCAAAGAAAGCAGGCGCGCATGCTTCCATGTCGACAAGCGCGCACTTATTCAAATTAAGGCTCATTCATTATGATTTGATTTGTGCTATGTCTATTACTATGTGTATCTACAGTTGACTCCCATAAGTGACAAGTACCCATCACTGATTACTGATGATTACCCGTCCAAATTCCAAATATTATACACATGCATTAGGCACCTGCAGGCAGCAGCAAGCATGCTGCTTACGAACGAAAGAAAGAAATAAAAAAACAAAGAGAAAAAAAAAAAACCATTTACCCCTGTCCCTTGCTTACTCTACACACATGCATTATGCCTTGTGTGTGTAGAGTAGGAGCATAAGGAAGACGGTCACTTTCCCTTGATGTTGCTCCAACATATTGGAGATATGAAATTAACGTGAATTTAAATTATTCCCACTAGTACTAGTCATAACTTGAAAGGGTTAGTCTAATTGTGTGCAGTACGAATTTCCTTCTTGTTCAAATGAGATTAATCTTAATTAAAAGCCTAAAAACCAATCAAGAATCTCTAACCCCGGTTTGTAATTGATACAGGTAGAGACGAGGAAAAGGCAGAAGAAATCCAATTGAATTGGATGAAGAAGAAACCGACAATCAACAATCCCTAATTGAATTGGGAATTTTCAAATAAGAAAGGCTTAAGCTACAAATTATAATTTAGGCTAATTTTTGAATTTTAATGTCATTTCTCATTCTAACTCATCTCATTATACTACTTTAAGTCTAATTTGATTATTTGAAGTATTAGAAATCAATTGCACCT